ATATATATATATATATATATTTTACATTCTTTTTCATGTTTTTATTTTATTTTTATTTAGCATTTGTGCTTTTGATTTCTTGTTTGAATTCTGCTAAAAGATTGGAAATCTTGCACTATCAGAACACTGAAATGGTGTTGAACTTGTCATTTTTCTGAAATGGTGGTTATGTTGCTTCCTAGAAATTAGAATCATGCTGTCAGGAATATGTGTTACCTAACAAAACTACAAATGTCTCTTCTTCTAACCTTTATTGCAAAACATGTAGCATTGATCATTCATTTTCTAAAATTCAAGAAATTAAAATATAAAAAGTAATTAAATATAAAATAAATTGGTATATCTAATAATGTTATACATTGGGAAGTCTATTGTAAAACTTGTCACTTGATCAAATATTGCATTTTTGAAATTTTTTGAATGTTATATGAAAGCCTTTGGTCATATTAGAATGTGTCAACATTATTTATTAAATTCTGTCACTGCCCCATGTGGTTTGCATGAGAGTTTTGTGGAGAAAGTGAAAATAAGTCCCTGAATGGTAATTTTTTCTGTGAAACTTGCGAGAATGGTTTATTGAGAATATGTGAGACTAGGAAGAACACCTAAAATGTCATGTAGTAGCAATTTTTTGAAAAAACATCAAAGTATTTTACTTGTTATTTAACAGGAATTCAAGTTGAAGGAGATGATGGAAGTTGTGTGGTTTGCATGGGTATTGGAGAAACAATGTATTTGATTTTTTAAGTTGTAATGGATATTTTTTTTTTTAATTTCAATTTTTGGGTAACCTATCCCTTGCGGGTTGTGCTTGGGATTAATTATTCTCTTTGCTACTTCTTGAATTTTCTTGTGTGTGTGGGCTACTGGACAGATGTTTTGTTTGTGTTTTTTTGTTGTTGCAAGATGTTTTGTGTGTGGGTTGTGTATGGGCTGCTCAATTTTCAAGATGTAATGGATGTTGAATTTTCAGAATGTTGCTACAGGATGTTTATTGATGTTTATTGAATTTTCAGAATTTTCAGAATGTTTATTGATGAATTTTCAGCATTAATTTTTAGAATTTTCAGAATGTTTATTGATGTTTAAATGGATGTTTATTGATGGTTTGTATTTTGCTTCAGGATGTTTTGTAAATGGATTTTTAATCCATTTCCAGATTCTTACAAAATTCTATGTTGCTTTAGTATGTTTTGTATGTTGCTTCAAATTTTTAATCCATTGTTTCAGGATGTAAATGGATTTTCAGGATGTTTTTGTAAATGGATGCTTTCAGGATGTTTTTGTAAATGGATTTTGAATGTTTGTAATTTGTAAATGGATGCTACAGATTTTTACATATAAAAAAAAAAAATACCGGGGATTTTTCGGGGTCGGGGATCCCCGATTCCCGATCAGGGGCGGGGATGGGGCCAGGCTATGGGTCCCCGTCGGGGATCGAGGACGGGGGGTAGTCTCCGGCCCCGCTCCGCCCCGTTGCCATTCCTAATTTCTGTGCGTGAAGACAAGATGTAAATTATATTGAAATAAAAATATAATTATAATTTATATGTATCATGTTGAAATTTGATAAAGACACTGAAATAATATAAAAAAAATATTATTCTTCTTAAATAACTTCTATCAATTTTGCTTATACCACATGCTCTACATAATTGAAATAAAAATGACAACGTATTGCAAATCAAAATAGTGAAAGCATATGTGCCAAACAAGTTAAGAAAAATTGTAAACATTAGACACAACACACAAATTAAAACTATTGTACACTTGTTAACGCTCTATAATCTAAAAAAATATACTAAAAACCAAATAAAGTACATCAGCAAGTGCTATGCAATTTTAACAAATTAAATTAAAAATTACACATCAAAATAGTTGAAAATTAAACATAATTGAAACTAAAAATAACAACATATTACAAATCAAAATAGTGAAAGCATATGTGCCAAGCAAGTTAAGAAAAAATTGTAAACACTAAACAAAACACACAAATTAAAACTATTGTACACTTATTAACGCTCTATAATCTAAAAAAAAATACTAAACACCAAATAAAGCACACCAGCAATTATTATGCAATCTCAACAAATTAAATTGAAAATTAAATATCAAACAATGCGTACCAGCCTATACTATGCAATTCTAAACAAATCAAATAAATCAATACACACCAACCAGTGCTCTACAATCTAAAAAAAATGAATGCACACTAGCTAATATTTTATAATCTTAAAAAAAAATTAATTAAATTAAACACCAAACAATGTACACCTGCTAGTATTACTGTTGTCAATCAAATTATAACCACATAAGCAAAATAAACATTATATTGCCATACACTTGAGTCAATAATATATGTACAATTTACAAAAGAGTCGATTAAAGCTTTACAAAATATGTGTATGCTTCAACCTAAAAGTATTTGGTTACACCAAGAAACAAAAAACCAATACTAATAAATATAATAATACAGCGTGTTCCAGATGGAACCGGTCGGATTGATCCACGCTTCTCTAACCGGTGCCCGAGGTACCAAGCCCACCAGAAGACCTGCACAAGAGTTCAAAGGGGAATGGGAAGTCCCCCAGCGAACCCTCCGATGAGCAAGTTAGAAAGTGAGGTGAAATGTAGAGATAGATTAGAGATAGAAAGCTTAACCTTCTTCTTGTCTTCAACG